CGCCAGCCCCTCTCCCCCGCCGCCTTCCGGGCGGCCCCGGCGGAGGCGGGATGCGCCTCTCACCGTCTCCTCTGGCCGTTCTGTTTTGCAGGAGGTTTTCGGTGCAGAGATGTGCGAGATGTCACCTGGGGATTTCTGCCTCCGAAATGGTCATGAGGGCCAGGGATTTGGTATATCACCTAAATTGCTTTACTTGCACCACTTGCAACAAGATGCTGACCACCGGCGACCACTTTGGCATGAAAGACAATCTGGTGTATTGCCGCCTCCATTTCGAGACTCTCATCCAGGGGGAGTACCAGGTGCATTTCAATCACTCGGATGTAGCCGCTGGGAAGGGCCCAGCACTGGGAGCGGGCTCTGCCAATACTTTGGGACTGCCTTATTACAACGGCGTGGGGACTGTCCAGAAGGGGAGACCCAGGAAAAGGAAGAGCCCAGGGCCTGGGGCAGATCTGGCAGCCTACAATGCAGGTAAGAGATCTCATTTCCCCCGCCCAAGAACAATTTAAAAGGCTTGTTTCTGTTCACTTCCAAAGGGGGATTTCCGTTTATTTTAGCTTAAACCGTTAATAATAGTTTAGCTGCAGCATAATTATTGAGATCAAGTGCTGTCAAATTGCAATTACAGAAGCTAATATGTTAGCATTTTTCACTTCAGCTGGAAATAAAATGTTTTGAAGCAAGGTCATCTGGTTAAGGAGGGGGGAGAAGGGGGAGTGTAGCCTGAAATAAAATCTGGAAACCAGAGATTGTAAGTTAGCACTTCAGAGAGCTGTGAATTTTCTTTAGTAGCTACATTCTTAAAGGCTGCTGATGGGTGAATTATTCTGCCTTTTCCTGAGCTCCTGCACCTCGGAGTTTGGGAAGGCAGGAAACAGAGAGAGAGAGATGAAGGGGGGGAAAAAAAAGTGGCGGTTTCTCTAGGACCCGCAGCGAGAGGCGGCTGGAGGGGCGCAGGGGCTGGCGGGTGCCCGCGCAGCCTGGCCGAGGGCGCTGGCCGGGCTGCAGGACGCAGGTGTTTGCAGGCAGCCTCGGGACTGTCCATGCACTGACAATTTAGGCTGGAGTTTTGTTCATCAGATGTGACTCTGGGAGGACTCGGGAAACTAGCAACATCTCTATTCTAAACCTTCCCTGCCCTCGAGTTACAGCCCCCTACCTCTTAACTGAGATCAGCAACAAGAAGAAAGGGAGCAAACCTGGCAACAGCCACAAGCCTGCAGTCTCTGCAGAAAGTCTGGCTCTCAGGTTCTCTGCATTCAACTGCTAACTTTCTGATGTGTTTCCTCGCTAAACATCCCCACAGCAGTACTGCAATTTTTCAGGCAAAGGAATTCAAGTAGTCTCCTGCCCCAGCAACCCCTCTCTCCCTACCCCTCTGGCCCTTGCTCGTCTCTTACTCTAGAACTGCTGTGATCACTGAGTCTTCTCAGCCGCGCTCTTTGTATGCAAAAGGAAAAAGTTTTTGGACAAAAGAAAATATTTGGATCTTGATTTTTATTAGAAGCATTCAAGGCAGAGGTGGTGGGGGTTACTCCAGACCAAAGTGTCCGTACACTGTGTACTCAGTCAGCCCGATCGATGCTGAAGATGAAACTCATTTGCCTCTTTCGTCTGCTTCAGTTCTGTTTTCAGGGTTTTCTGTTGTTTCGAT